ACCACAAATTGTAGCGGCCCTCCCCGGGGTGGGGGGAGGAGGGGAGGAGGGAAGGAAGGGCTTCTGGGGCTCCTCTCCCTCCCACAGCACCGAGGGGGGATGAGGTGAGGCGAGGCGGCGGTACCACCCTGGGCCTCCTGGGGGAGGGGCGGAGAGGGCATCAGTCCGGTTCAGAGCCCGCGGCCTGCCAGGGGGGGTGCGCCGGTCCCCTGCCTTCCTGGTCCCTTCTGGGCCGCCTGCCCCCTGCCCCGCGGCCGTCCCTTGCTCCCACCCTACCTGGCCCTCTTCTTCGCTAACCTTCCCTCCCTCCCCTCCCCCTGAGTAAATGCAATGACACATTTTCCCAAATGCCAGCGAGCTGGCCTCGCAGCAAGTGATGGTGTTTTTCCTGCTGCCCTTTGTCTGGGCCGGCCGCCCCCCTTGCCTATTGTCCCGCCGCTTGTCCCATTTCCAGGAGCCGGGCTAAGTGAGGCGCCGGGGTTGGGGCAGGTGACTGACTGCTCACAGTGCCCCCTGGAGGGGGGGCGGCGGCCGAGGGCCTGCAGGCCCCCTGCCCAGCTGCGGGAGAGAAGGGAGCCCATGGGAGGCTTCCCCTTCGGTTCACAAGGTTCTTGGTTCTTCCGCTCGGGGACCAGGGCGTCGGATTGCCCACGGGCGGGGGACTTGTAATTCATTAATCAGCACGAGGCACCGGACCAGTTTCAACACAGAGGCTTTGAGGGTGACTCAGCGAGGACTCTCTGGAATCCAGAGATGGACGGCCCAGAGCCCCCGTTTTGAACTGCTTCCCCATAAAGCCATTGGGCATTCTCTTCCTTTGGGGTTTGGGGCGGTGGCTTTTTCTGGTGGTGGGGTAGGGGTGGTGGGCTGTGAGGCGTGCCCTCCCCTCTCTCTTCCCGCAGGCCTGGGCTGGGCCCCTGGGACCCATAAGCCTGGGCTGGCCCTGGAGGGTCTCCTTCCTCCCTCCCACCCTCTCTCCACAGAGGGCTGCCAGGACGATGCAGAAGCAGCAGCCTGCCTTCCCTGGGGTTGCAGTCATTCCTACCTTTTTGTGGGGAGTCACTGGGTCCCCCAAGACTTGGATGCTCTAGA